CGCGCATCTAGATCTAGCTGGTTACCAAGGGGAACCAGTTGGAACGAAAATGAGGCTGTTGTCCCGTCTTGTCTTACTGTGTCTTGGATCTGTATTTAACAACATGGCTAGATCTATATTATTTAACAACATGACTAGATCTGTATTTAACAACATGGCTAGATCTATATTTAACAACATGCTAGATCTATATTTAACAACATCCTAGATCTACAGTTAACAACATGACTAGATCTATATTTAACAACATGACTAGATCTGTATTTAACAACATGCCAGATCTATATATTTAACAACATGCCAGATCTATATTTAACAACATGACTAGATCTATATATTTAACAACATGCTATACTGTCATGGAAGTAACAAGATACGTATTCACTTGAGTTATAAATCTTGATGAGATTTTAAAAAACAACAACAAAGAAACAAAATGGCCTATTTATAACTAGTTCAAGGTCATAAAAAGCCAACTATTTTAGTCAACAAAATGCGAATGTTCATGTTAAGCTGTTATGTAGACGACGCAAGGGCATACATTTAGAAACTATTTCTTTCAGCTGTGAACACTTCTTTACAATTATTAGCCGTTTCTTTGATAAAAGTCTACAATCATTATTCATATACGGTATATCTCAGTTGAGAATTTTCCACTGCATCAGAGGGTTCTTCAGTCAACCAGTCTGTACTTATCTTCTTGCATCTCATAATTGTGAGACATGCTGACAAAATGAGTTATTTATCGGACTTTGGCCCTGTGGACATAGGCCGGTGTATACTTCCAATGTGTCACTGTGTTTGTACAGTTCATTAGAAAAGAACATGTCAACTAAAGATAATGGTGTCAGTGGAAAAATCTACAGTTTAAATGTGTCAATTTTCGGCCGGCATCTCCACTGGTGACTTTTAAAGAAGTAGCTCAGTTTGTCTGGTAGCCTCACAAAACTTTGTGATGAACCAACACACACACACTCACACACACACACTCACACACACACACACACTCACACACACACACACACTCACACACACTCACACACACAAAGCCTGCACTGGGAGTCAGTTGTACAGTTACAAACACTGAGTCAGTTGTACAGTTACAAACACTGGGAGTCAGTTGTACAGTTACAAACACTGGGAGTCAGTTGTACAGTTACAAACACTGAGTCAGTTGTACAGTTACAAACACTGAGTCAGTTGTACAGTTACAAACACTGGGAGTCAGTTGTACAGTTACAAACACTGAGTCAGTTGTACAGTTACAAACACTGGGAGTCAGTTGTACAGTTACAAACACTGTGAGTCAGTTGTACAATTACAAAACAAGTCAGTGCCACGCCCCCATCCCACGCACTGAGAGCAGAACCTAGCGGTTTTTACAGAATAACGATGGAAGATAATGATTTTACTTATCACATTTCCAAAAGAACATAAAGTGACATGATCTTTCTTGGCTTTGACAACGATGCCAATCTTAAAAGTGATACTTGTAATGAGATGATATAAGTGCTATCTAATCCTAGATTCTACTCCTACGTTGGTTTCAAATACTCACTGTTTCGAGCGTGGAACGATGAGTGTGAGTCGTACAGGTCCGGAGCTCCGTCCACTGTGTCGACCCACCAGTAGCGTCGATCCCTGCTCAGACTAGATCTAGATCTAGGTTTTAGTCGTGGCTCGGAAGTCCAGTTTAACCTTCGCCGTCTGTTTCTATACCCCCCGTGCTCCCTTATTCTCCTACACTCACTAGGCTACACTGAGTTTGTTTACTTATTTCACGTGATTCTGGCTTGTAAGGTAATCACAGCGAATTATAAACCACACGCCCCCTTAATCTCATTGATCAATACGATAAAAAACCAACACCCCACCTAAAGAGAATACACAAATCACCCCAGTTTAACCCACTATGATAATCATCATCCGGTGCCTTGCCGACTGGCGTGGGCGATCATGGACCTCCACTTCCATCTGTCTTTCGAAGCAGCAATGGTGTCTGTTGTTCTTGCTGCTCCCAGCCATGTTGTCATCTTGTCCAGTATCTTTTCCCTCTGTCTGCCTCTACCTCTCTTTCCATCAAAGTTTCCTGTTGTTACAATGTTCTCTAATGCTTCTTTCCGCATTGTGTGTCCGAAAAAATTTGCCTGTCGTTTTCTTATATTCGTGATAAGTTGTTTTCTATAATTTGCTTCAACCAGGACTTCTTCATTTGTTTTTCTAGCTGTCCATGGGATAAGTAGCATGCGTCTCCTGAACCACAACTCTGCCGCAACAATTGTTTTTTCCAGCTGTTTATTGATTGTCCATGCTTCGCACCCGTATAATAGGATTGGCTCGATGTAGCTTTTCATTACTCTTTTCCTCATTTCCAGTGACAGATTGATGTTTGTAAGTATCTGTTTCATCTTGTGGAAGGTTGCTTTTGCTTGGCAAATGCGGCTTTTAATTTCGGTGTGACATCTACCATCTGATGATATAATGGTCCCCAAATATCTAA